TTGCTGGATCAAATGGTAATTCTAGTTTTAGTTCTTTAAAGAATCTCCACACAGTTTTCCATAGTGGTTGTACTAGTTTACATTCCCACTTCTACATACACAGCAGTGTAGAAGTAGCAACAACAAACTCTTCCTATTTACTTGGCATCTATAAAACCAGAAAATTCAAATAGAATTTTGATGGGCACATCTGAGTTTAATGAGAAGAGAAAAACCATAAAGTAATTTAGGATAAGAGATCATTTTTACAGTAATTCCCAGTGTCTGAGAAAAAGTTATGGTATATATTTTCACTATTAATCCTACCTGCTTTGGTTGGAATGTGTCCCCCAAATTACATGTATTGGCAACTTAATCCCCAATATGGCAGTACTGAAAGATGGGACCTTTAAGAAGTGATTGGGTCATGAGGGCTTATCCATTCATGGACTAATGGGTTAATAGATTAATGGGTTACTGTGAGAGTGGGACTGGTGACTTTTCTTTTTTTTTTTTTTTTTACAGAGTCTTGCTCTGTCGCCCAGGCTGCAGTGCAGTGGTGTGATCTCGGCTCACTGAAACCTCTGCCTTCCTGGTTCAAGTGATTGTCCTGCCTCAGCCTCCCACCACGCCAGGCTAATTTTTTGTATTTTTAGTAGAGATGGGGTTTCACCACGTTGGCCAGGCTTGTTTCAAACTCCTGACCTTAGGTGATCTGCCCACCTCAGCCTCCCAAAGTGCTGGGATTACAGGCGTGAGCCACCATGCCTGGCCTGGGACTGGTAGCTTCATAAAAAGAGAAGGAAAGGCCTGAGTGGGCATGCTCAGCCCCTTCACCATATGATTCCCTGCAGTCCCCACCAGCAACAAGGCTCTCCCCAGATGTGGTCCCTCCACCTTGAAGTTCTCAGTCTCCTCCCTAACTGCAAGAAATGAATTCCTTTTCTTTATAAATTACCCAGTTTCAGGTATTCTGTTATAAACCACAGAATACAGACTAGGACACTACCCTTCCTACCAGTATCCCTATCGTCCACTTGAAGAAAATACGTATTAGTAGAAAATACATATTAGTGAAGGGGTTAAATCCAAGTGCACGTTTCCTACTGCTTCCTCCCACTAAGGAAGCTAGGGTGCAGATACATGATCCAGTAAGCTTGACCAATTGGATGGTGATGTAGTTTGGATCTCCCCTGCACATCTCATGTTGAGATGTAATTCCCAGTTAGAGGTAGGGCCTGGTGGTGTCTGGGTCATGGGGACTGATCCCTCATGGCTTGGTGCTGTCCTCACTGTAGTGAGTTCTCATGAGATCTGATTGTTTAAAAGTGTGTGATACCTACCCCCACCCCCTTGCTCCTGTTTTTGCCATGTGAAGTGCCTGATCCTACTTCACCTTCTGCCATGAGCAAAAGCTTCCTGAGGCCTCCCCAGAAGCAGATGCAGGCACTAGGCTTCCTGTACAGCCTGTAGAACCGTGAGCCAATTAAACTTTTTTTATAAATTACTCAGCCTCAGGTACTTAGAGCAATGCAAGAATGGCCTAATATAGATGGTCTCTCCTGTGACTTGAAATCTTGAGGAATAATGAAAATAACCCCTTAATAAATTCCTTTCTTGCTTAAGATAACCCAGAAGAATCAGTTTCTATTGTAGGAAAAAAAGACTTCATTAACGCAAATGTCAAGAGAAAATTCAAACTAATTTTTACACATCCTTCCTCTAAACGTTTTGAAAGCTACTAAAAGGCTTTCTGAGCTGTTAAATCTGAAGGATTTATAACAGATTGTTATTTTCAAACACAGGTATTCTATGTATACAGTTTGTATGTTTGTGTGAATACACACACACACACTCATGAACCACACTGTTTATGCAGACTCAATATAAATGTACACCTGAGTTGTGCAACATTCAAATCAATGCAGAAATCAAGCAAAGATTACATTCAGTTAATTGTAGTTATTTCTTGGAAACATTACCTATTTTTTGAGACAGGGTCTCACTCTGTCGCCCAGGCTGGAGTACAGTGGTGTGATCTTGGCTTACTGCAACCTCTGCTAACCAGGCTCAAGTGATCCTCCCACCTCAACCTCCTGAGCAGCTGGGATCACAGGCGTGTGCCACCACGTCCAGCTACTTTTCCCCTCAAGACAGAGTCTCACTCTGTCACCCAGGCTGGAGTGCAGTGGCACCATCTTGGCTCACTGCAACCTCCGCCTCTCAGGTTTAAGCAATTCTCCTGCCTCAGCCTCCCAAGTAGCTGGGATTACAGGTGCCCGCCACCACACCTGATTAATTTTTGTATATTTAATAGAGATGTGGTTTTGCCATGTGGGCCAGGCTGATCTTGAACTCCTGACTTTGTGATCCACCCGCCTCGGCCTCCCAAAGTGCTGGGATTACAGGCTTGAGCCACCGCGCCCGGCCCACACCCAGCTATTTTTACAATTTTTTTGTAAAGATGTAGTTTTGCCTTGTTGGCCAGGCTCGTCTTGAACTTCTAGGCTCAAGCGATCCACCCTCCTTGGCCTCCCAAGGTGCTGGGATTTCAGGCATGAGCCACCACACCCAGCTGGAAATATCTTTTATCTTAAAAATTCCTAAGCATCCTATCAATTACCTCATTACTATAAATTTAATTTTAATGTAATATTTTAACACAGTTGCCAGGATCTTCAAACCTTCATTTTATAGATGGAAAAAGAGAGCTCACGCAGGGGTGTCCAAGGGAGAGAATATAGTCTTGGGTTCTTAGTTTCCGTTTCTGGTTGGGCCAGTAAATACTTCCTCATCCCTCTTTTCTGCTTATCACTAGAAACAGAAGCTAAAACCATGGCTTCAAACTGTTAAAAGCCTAAAACAAAACAGAACAACAACAGTAACAAAATAAGATGGGCTGGACAAGCTTGGCAGAGAGCCTGCTTGGAGAAGCTGTATGAAAAAGATAAGAAAGACTCTGCCACCACTCCTGAAGGTTCTCGGCCCAAGATGGAATTTAGTCTCAGAAACTCTTATACTAATAAAATTTGTACATCAAATTAAGATCAGCAACAGTTAAAACATTAATAAAGACTGAAGCATTTGTTCACTTAAAACAATTTTATTTAATATTTAGTATATTTACTTTTAAAATAAAAATTAGAGGAAAGCCCCTGCACTTGTTTTCCATGAACATAATACAATAGTAGTCACCTATCTCCTCTACCCAACTTGTGTTTTAGGAGTCCTTTTGGATCTTTTCCCCCATAATGGCCTCTCTCCTTTTGCTTTACAGTGCAGTCAGGGCAGAATAACAGATATGTTGAGTAGCTAATTTATATCTCTGAAGATCTCCATAAAACTCCTAAATTCTAAGTCTTCACAGTCTTTGCACCTTGCCAAGTTTGCTTTCCTTTGGGAATTTCGTCATAACCACAAGGTTATTCCCCAGATATGCAGTTTGGGGAAATTAACCTGGCAGTAGTAAACAGACTGGATTAGAAAAGGTGGCAATCGTAATGAGGATATTGCAATAACCGGGGAAAGCTACAGAAGGATCTTGAGTTAGGATGATGACAGTTACAATAGAAAGGAGACCAGTACAAGAGACAGTGAAAACAGAATGGATACAATTTAGTCGAAGAATTGGCTGTGGGTGAAAAGAAGAAATCAAAGATGCCCGGAGTTGTGAGTTTCAGGTAGCTCTGGGTTTATAATCCTAGTTCTGACTCGCACTATCTTTAGATATACTCGCTGCTGACTACTAACTGAACAAGGTAGTAACCCTGTCATCTTGTAACTTACCTAAGTCTCAGTTTCCTCCTCTGTAAAACAAACTACCAAAATAAAGCTGACGAAAAGATTGAAGTAACATATAAAACCCTTAGGACAGTGCCTAGTATCCATTAAGCAGCAGATAAATGGCGGTCATTGTTAGGGAGTAGGGTAAACGATAAGAACAGAAAGTTAAAAAAATGAGTAGCAGCACGGACTTTTGCGTGGGGATTCGATCTTTCTACTACACATTACACATACCTCTAAGCAGAGAAAGGGGTTGGAGGGGAGTTTGATAATGTGACTAATAATCCTCCTCCCCTTGGAGGGGAATCTTGATAAAGTATAGCCACCCACATGGAGGACTAATATAAAGTGGATTGCAGAATGCACTTGGGCTGGGAGCTCAAGTGGGCCAGGCTTCTTGATTCCTATTTTATCCCCCTTAAACTAAGATAGCAAGGTCTGACTTACACTTTCATTTGCTGCTGAAGTTTCGGAACAGAAAGATAGCCAGATCATATTAATTATGGATAGGCAAGAAAGCATGAGCCCTGAGGAGGAAGGAAAGGACTGTCCAGGTGTACTTACCTCAAAGATGAGAAATATCAAAGACAGGAAACCCTAGGTTCTTGCCCTTCAGTCGCTATCTCCTTGCCATTAGTAAAATGCGGCCGATGAATGTCCTCACTTCTGGACATCCCCATCTGGGCAGGAGGTGGGAAGGGTGATGTGCAAATGGATGGGAGGAACCTTTTTCTCGGCAGTGCCCACCACACGCAGCCCCGTGCCACGCACCGCAAGCGCTCCATAAACGCACACAGCGTCGCCCCTACCAGAATCCCGGGCGGCCTTCGCGGCATTTCTCCTGGCGTCGGCTTTCAGACTCCCGCGGATGGGATAGGTCGAGAGGGCGGCATCTTTTGGCTTTTCTTCTCCCTGGAAGCTCTGAACCATGTTTATGCAACGTTTAATGGGCTCTAATAAAACGGCTAATGTTTTGCCCAGCGGAAGCACCTACCCCTTCGCTAAGCCGACTCTGCGAGGGTGAAGCTGCAACCCCAAGGCCGGAAAACGCGGCTACCGAAAAGCGCATGCGCCACGGGGTGGCATGACGCTAGAGAAACCCGCGGAGGTGGGCGGAAACCATGGCAACCCTGCGTGATGACGACGTGGTGACCGTCCCTAGCGCTGGATTATGACGCAGGCAGTGGGCGCGGACTCTGCGGTTGGCTTGACTGACGGCGCAGCCTCCGGGCCTCGCCACAGCAGCAACGGCAGAGGCCAGCGGGCGAGGTCAAGATGGTGGCTCCGCGGGCGGGGGAGGCGGTGGAGGGAGGAGGAGTCAGACCTTAGCCTGCCGGAAACACCGAAACCCAGAGACCTCCTGGGGAGCCGCCGCCGCCGCCCTCTCGGCCGTCACTGCCTCCGCCGCCTGCTCCACTTCGAGGGACGCGAGCGGGCGGCGGGGCGGGCCGTGAGAGAGACAGGAGAGGAAGGAGCGCAGGGGCGGAGTTGCCCGCCTTAGCCCCCGCCCCCGGCCGCGGCCCCGGGCCCTGCCCCGCGTGGCCCTGCCCGGCCCGCCCAGCCCCGGTGTGGCAGCGGCTCATGGCGGCGGTGGGGCCCCCGCAGCAGCAGGTGCGGATGGCCCATCAGCAGGTCTGGGCGGCGCTCGAAGTGGCGCTCAGGGTGCCCTGCCTTTACATCATCGACGCCATCTTCAACTCCTACCCCGATTCCAGCCAAAGCCGGTTCTGCATCGTGCTCCAGATCTTCCTCCGGCTCCTTGGTAAGGGAACAGGGTACCCTGCGTCCCGGGATCGCTCTGCGGGCCGAGATGTGCCCCGAGGAGCGGGCAGGCGTGCGAGGCCGTGGGTCGAGTATGTGTCTTTGGGAACTACAGTTTCATCTCTGAAAGGGTTGTCTTTACGGGGTGGGAGGGGGAAGGAGATGATACTTGTCTGAGTTGACAGCGGAGCAGTCCCCCTAGCGAGGACTCAGTGTTGTACCTCAGTGAGAGGGGGAGAAAGCAAGAATGCGTGAGCATGCAGCTCTTCGCCCGTTTCTCTTGGGAAATGAGTACTGGCTTATCGCGTCCTATGCGACAGCCTTCGAAAAAACAACTGTATCCCAGGCTCGTCGTGTGTGACCTTGGACTTCTGCCAAGGCGTGGGCCTCAGTTTCCCTTTATTACAAAATGCAGAGTACTTGTATATTGTCACTTCTGCTGCACCCAAGGGTCCACAGGATCGTGAAGTGTCTGCAGTAAATGACATCCAAGCGAAGGAGACAGGGTTTCGAATGTCAGACCTTGAAACCATTACCAAAAATTCTCATGAAAGCGCGATGCTAAAATTTTCCATGAATAAACGAGAAGGTATTGAAGATGACTGTAAAAAGTGATGAGCCATTTGCCAAAGAAACGTCTGAAAATCATTCTTTGTTTCGTATGGAGGTGTGTTAAAAGTATCTTATATTTCATTTCTTCCTCTCCATCTTCACTTACATCATCAGAGTGAGATGCATTTATGCGTAAAATAATTTTTTAAGTGATTGCAACCTGGCAGTTTTTGTTGATGAGGTAATTCTGGTGATCGGTCTTAAGTAAGCTAGTGCTTTTGAAGTGTTGCTGAGGGCAGACTGAGGGTGAGATCTTTACCAAGCCTTTCTGAATTACAAGCCATCTGTTGCTTTTATTCTTTCAAAAGAGGAGTGGCAATAAAGGCCGAATTTTGTTCTTAGCAATAAATAGCCATATTTTACATTTCTCTGGTACTTTCCTTTTGCAAAACATTTTCACTGGTATTATCTAACCTAACCTTCAAACATCCCCCAGAGGTGGGTGGTGATATTCTCATTTTACAAACCAGGAAACAGGGTCATAGAGGTTAAGTGTTGCTCTTGGTAGGCAGCCGGTAAGTGGTTGCCAGAGCCTGGGGCTTAAAAATCTTTTGACATTAAGTATGGTTTACTTTTCTCCCTAACAGCTGCAGTCCAGATACAGAATGCTATAGTAATGATCATATGCTAGATCTTAAAACTAAAGATGTGAACGTGATGTTCAGCTCAAGCTGCTTGTAACCCACCGGCTACCTGATTCCAGCTGCTCTTACTTGCCACTGCTAACGTATACCACCACCACAATTTGTGTTAAAAATTGGGCTCTGTTTGAGAGGATTCTGCATATTCAGCCCAGAAATAGTGTAGTGACTGCTTTGAATATTCTTACAGCATGATGACTGCAGATTCTCTGAGAATCCCTTTGGGACCTGGTGCTTTAATGCAATACTCTGTTGAGCTTCAGGCTAGGCAGCTTCAAGGAAAAGAAGTATTTTCTTTAATTAAATAATTTGTAGTTTGAGAACATTGAACGAAGTAATCTGGTATTTTCCTTGTACTAGCCATGCTTCTTTTGTAATAAGTCTTGAAAGTTTGTGTTTGACGGTTAAAGAAGGGCGTGACTTAAGGCGACTGCTCAGTGCTTTGGTTTATTTTTGCCTTTTAAAAAAATGGACAATGATGACATCTGTTTCATAGGGTGTTAAAGACAATAAAACTATTTTAATGCTTCATTTAATACCATATTTTGTTAGATATTTTGGTCTTTTGAAATCATCAGCAAAGTATTGGTGCTGTTTATTTGAAAATTTTGATCCCAGAATCTCTGGATCAGACTTTGAGAAATACAAAATATTTTTCAGATCTATCATCTGACTCTTCTTATGTCATGTAATTATGCTAATTTTTCATATTTGTAAGGATGGTAAGAATGAAAAAAACTGGTTTTGGTGCTAAAAAATTATATGTTACTAAAAGACACAGGTTTGTGTGTAAAATATGCCAATGGATAGTTGAAATTAATCGTTCTGCCTTGTTAGTTTTTTTGTAGTTGTAGACTTCTCAGTACTACTGTGTATAAGTCTTACCACTTGTCAACCTCACCCTTTTCTTTAAAATTAATGTGTAAAAATGGAAATCTATCTCTTAAGTAAAAAGCATTACCAGTTTTATGTATGGTGGTAGAAGTATTTACTCCCTTCTACCTACAAAGTGGTGCTACAACTGTACCTTCATTTGATATCAAAACTAATTTGAGATTTCAACCGGTTGGAAAATAAAGCAACTCATTTTGGAGATCCAAATAAAATTCTATGACAATATATAGAATATTTAAGAACATAAAGCCATGTCTTAAGGGGTGTTAAATACTAAATGAAACTCAACCCAGAGCAGCATAATGCTGAGTTAGCAAATTTAAATTTTTAACCAAGGCAGAAAATGCAAGCCTAGGAGTTTGTTTTAATAGTATTACTCATGGTGATAATTCATTGAGGTGGGAAAAGTCTTTAAACATAACAGCAAACCCAGAAGTTCCAAGGAAAAATCTGATACATTTCAGTACATAAAAATGAAAAGCTTTTTTATGGCAAAACTTTAAAAATCCTTAAATGACAAACTGAGAGAAAATACTTGTATCATAAGTGATTGACGTTCTAGTAAGCATTTTACTCTGCCAGGGAAGTTGAGGCAGGAGAATCACTTGAACCAGGGAGTTGCAAGTTGCAGTGAGCCGAGATCGCGCCACTGCACTCCAGCCTGGCGACAGAGCGAGATTGTCTAAAAAAAACAAAACAAAACAAGAAAAAACTTATACTCCCTTAGGAAAATCCCAAAGACAAGCAATTCACAATTAACAAAATGCAGATGTTCAATAAGCAAGAGAAAAAGTATTTAGCCCTTCCTGCAGGAGCTTGATTTTATGGGGGGGAAAAAAGGACTTAGCCTTTCTTATAGTTAAATACAGTCAAGACCAGGTATGGTGGATCACACCTGTAATCCCAGCACTTTGGGAGGCCGAGGCGGGCAGATCGCTTGAGGCCAGGAGTTTGACACCAGCCTGGCCAAATGGCGCAACCCGTGTCTACCAAAATATTAGCCGGGCGCAGTGACTCCTGCCCGTAGTCGCAGCTACTCTGGAGGCTGAGGCACGAGAATCACTTGAACCGGGTTGGTGGAGGTTGCAGTGAGCCAAGATCGTCCCACTGCACTCCAGCCTGGGCGATAGAGCGAGACTGTCTCAAAAAAAAAAAAAAAAAAAAGTCAAAAAAAATTTATCAGATTGGTGAAAAGTTCAAAGTTTTGCAAAGGCATTTACCTTTTTGAACTAGGTAAATTTATACAATTTGGAAGACTCTTTTTTTTTTTTTTTTTTTTTGAGACGGAGTTTCACTCTTGTTGCCCAGGCCGGAGTGCAATGGCGCGATCTCAGCTCATCACAACCTCCGCCTGCCCGGTTCCGGCGATTCTCCGGCCTCAGCCTCCGGAGTAGCTGGGATTACAGGCAAGTGCCACCACCCCCGGCTAATTTTTTTTTCTAGTTTTAGTAGAGACGGGGTTTCTCCATGTTGATCAGTCTGGTCTTCAACTCCCGACCTCGGGTGATCTGCCCTCCTCGGTCTCCCAAAGTGCTGGGATTACAGGCGTGAGCCACCGTGCCCGGCCCGGAAAACTGTTAATATCAGTGTAAAACTATTTGGCACTATCAACTGTCATTTACAACTGACTTTTTTGTTTGTTTTGTTTTAAAGACAGAGTCTCGCTCTGTCATCAAGGCTGGAGTGCAGTGGCGTGATCTCGGCTCACTGCAACCTCCACCTCCCAGGTTCAAGCGATTCTCTTGCCTCAGCCTCCTGAGTAGCTGGGATGCCTGGCTCGTACAACTTTGGACTCACAATTTCAATTCTAGGGAATTGACCTAGAGATATAGTTGTACAAAAGGACTATGGGCAAACACTACTGGAAATAACAAAGCAACAAACTTAATCTAAATATGTATTGATACAAATCTGTTCATTGTATTAGGTCCAGCCATGCAATAAAGTTCTTGAAAGGAATGAGATAGCTATTTTTGGTGCTGAAAAAGACCTCAGAAAACCTATGAAGTGAAAAAACAAAGCCGAAGTAATTATAACTGGCAGAGGAATAGACAGAGATTTCTCAACAGTTGCAGTATTGACATTTTGGACAGGATAATTCTTTGTTTGCGGATGAGAGCTCTTCTGAATGCACTGTAAGATTTTTAGCAGCGTCCCTTTCCCCTGCCCATTAGATGCAGGAGCACCTTGCACCCCAACAACCCAATGTGACAGCCAGAGCTGTCGCTAGATATTGCCAAATCCTGGTTGAGAACCACTGGGATAGACAAATAGATTAGTACTTAGCCTTATTTATAATTAAATACATAGCTCAGAGACAGACACAAATGTATATATAGATATAATGTGTTTCAGAGAAAGAATTGAAGTACCTTGAGGTAAACATGGACTGTTGAATTAATGATCATTTTGTTATACCTTTGGAAATAAATTATACTAGATGTCTACCTCATGTCAGTATATAAACAGTCACTTCTAGACTGGGCAGTGTAGTGAGACCCTGTCTCTGCAAAAATAAAAGTTTAAAAAAATAGCCATACTTGGCGGTGGGCGCCTGTAGTCCTATCTACTCAGGAGGCTGGGGTGAGAAGATCGCTTGGGCCCAGGAGTTCAAGGCTGCAGTGAGCTATGATTGCATAACTGCACTCCAGCCTGGGTGGCAGACAAGACCCTGTCTCTTAAAAAAAAAAAAAAAGTCATTTCTAAGTGTATTCTTACCTAGATGTATATGTAAATATGAAATGAAGAACTTTAAATTTTTAGAAAAAAATATGGAATATCTTATTTTTCCAATCTTAGATTAAGGGAGAAATTCTGTAAAAATATATAAAAGCAAATACATAATGAAGATTGATAAACTGAATGATACTGAGGTGAAAAACCTATGTTAATCAAAAGATCGCACCACTGCACTGCAGCCTGGGCAACAGAGCGAGACTCCATCACTAAAAATAAAGAAAGAAAGTGAAATCTCAGGTAAGGGGGAACTACTGTACTTACATTTACCGATTTATTATAAAGGCAACTACAAAGGCCACAGATGAATTAACCAGATGGAAGGAGATGTACTAGGTGAGGCAAAGAAGGAGGGAAGGGGAGAAGGGGCGTGGAGCCTCAGTGTTCAGCTGAGAGCTGGCAGAACTCAGTCCTTTTGGGTTTTTATGGAAGCTTCCTTAAATAGGCATGATTGATTAAATCACTAGTCATTGGTTTATGGACTCAAGCTTCAGCTTCTTCCCCCTCCCCAAAAGTGGGGGCTGGGGGTAGGAATCAAAGGTATAACCCTTAATCACTGGGTTGATTCTCCTGACTACCTAACCCCCATCCTGAAGCTATCTAGGGGCCCCCAGGCACCAGTCATCTGATTATTGTACAAAACAGTCATCACTCCAGAGATTCCAAGGATTTTAGAAGCTATGTCAGAAAATGGGATAAAGACCAAATATTAATTTTTTTTAATGATATCACAGATGGGAAAGACAAACTAGAAAAACTTGCTTTAACTCTTCATTTAACACCTCTCTGTAGGGTTTGGCTTTTTAAAATCCATGTTCATATATTTTTGATAAAAGCATACTTGTTATAATTTCAGGTTAAAAGCAAAAGTTTAATTTTGTGTTATTAATACTTAGAATACCATTTTTTTAACCTAAAATAAGAATCCAATAGAAATTTTTTCTTTATAGTTTATCAAGTATGCCAACAGATTAACAACATTTCAAGACACTTTGTTGTAAACTTCATTGCAGAAGGCTCCCTTGGGAGTAAGGTAGTAGTAACATTTATTTCTGTGCTTTTCCATATTATTCTGTCAGGTATTGAAATGTTTTTCAACAAGTTGCTTTTTGTTTTAAAGGTATTTCGGGTACTTGGAGAATTGTAAATATTATGTTTTGTACCCTTTTTAGTCATAAGTTTCCAGAAGAGGGTAAGGGTATGAATAGACTTTACACATGAAAGAGTGAAACACTTTGTTATGTAACATGTATAGTAAGTTTTTTTATTTTTTCCTTTGTTTTTATTTGCCTGTTTTTGGTAATCCAGATTGAGAAGGCCTGAACTTTCATGAGTTGAGTTCGTATATAGTTTCAAAGTTCCTGAATTGATTTGGATACCTCCCTCTTTTTGACTACCTTGAAAACTCTAGTGAACTCTCTTAATCACAGGAGAATTGGACTGGGATCTCTGAGTTGTGATTTCAGTAAATTCTGTTCTCTTTTAATTTTTTATGAAGCAGCATTTATATACAGCCTTGATTACTTGTGCAAGTCACTTCCAAATTCTAATGAGAAACTGTCTCTGGACTTTTATATTTTCTTAGATCTACAGTGTAAATACCAAGAAAGCATTTCATATCTAATGTAAGAATGCACTGAAACTTTGATATTATTCTGCAAAGGCCATGAGAAAGATGATTACTTTGGAGACTTATTACTTGGGATGTTTGCTTTTAAAATGAGAGCAGATTCTTCCCAAACTCCATAAGTAGGAACGTGACTATAAGGAAAATCTGTGAACCCCATATACCTACAAACTTTGGGTAGGAATTAAAATGTGTACTATTCTTGAAATGTTAACTCACTGTTACATCTTGGGGGGTGTGATTTTAATCAGGATAGAGTATTGTCAGATTGTTACTTGCTGGGACACATCCAAATTTTGAGGTTGTAGTCTTACTACATTATTTGTCTATTTGATGCCTTCCCCTTTTTTCTTTGATACATTTGCATAAAGCACAATGGCACTTTTTCACTAGAAATGTTTCTAAAACCCAAATCATTTCTTCATTTGTGTGTGGTAAAAACAAGCTTCAGGAAAAAAGTTATTAGAATTTTTAAAAATAGTTATAAAATTATAGCAAAGCTCATGAATAGTTACTGAAGATTACTTTACTACTTTGTGAATAGCAAGTTGACAAAAATAATTTACGGTTCCTGCTTGACTTTCTCTCCTCTAAGTGGCATAAAGTAGAACTAGAGTTTTTTTGTTTTGGTTTTGACTCAACTTAGAAGATTTGTTTTAAAGTTCTGAAGTTTTGTCCCAGGAAAATAAGGTTGTTTTCCATGTAGAGAATGTAAAATTACATATGGCATCTGGTAGGCTGAATTAATTCCATTTCCTTGTTACCTTCCATGGAAGAAGTTTCCAATAAAAAAAATCTTTTCTGGGCAGGGCATAGTGGTTCACGCCTATAATCCCAGCACTATGGGAGGCCGAGGCGGGCGGATCACCTGAGGTCGGGAGTTCGAGACCAACCTGACCAACGTGGAAAAACCCTGTCTCTACTGAAAATGCAGAATTAGCCGGGCATAGTGGTACATGCCTGTAATCCCAGCTACTTGGGAGGCTAAGGCAGGAGAATCGCTTGAACCTGGGAGGCAGAGGTTGCAGTGAGCCGAGATCACGCCATTGCACTCCAGCCTGGGCAACAAGAGTGAAACTCCATTTTTTAAAAAAAATACCTATTTCCTGTTAAAAGAGCCTGTTCTGCACTCACAACTCTTTGGGAGATTATTAGTGGCCCATTTGCTTGGGGAATCAGGTGGTTTGTATTTAGAGGTTTATATGTCTTCTACTTTATTGTGTCCTTTTGTTTTCCTTTTCACAAATGACTTGACACTTTGGCACAGAATACATTTTAAATCCCTGGACAGAGTCATCATTTAAAGGAACTAGCCCTTGCCTATATGTGCAATGGATTGTGAAATGCGTCCACTGTAATAATATGCAGTGTCTTAATTATCTGCTGAAATAAGGTGGATAGATGGATTTTTATTTTATTTAATATTTATGTATTTATTTGAGACAGGGTCTCCCTCTGTCACCAAGGCTGGTGTGCAGTGGCGTGATCTCAGCTCTCTGCAACTTCTGCCTCCTGGGTTCAAGCGATTCTCCCACCTCAAGCCCCTGAGTAGCTGGGAGTACAGGCATGTGCCACCACGCCTGGCAAATTTTTATATTTTTGGTAAAGACAAGGTTTCACCATGTTGACATGGTCTCGAACTTCTGGCCTCAAGTGATCCACCCGCCTCAGCCTCCAAAGTGCTGGGATTACTGGTGTGAGCCACCGCGCCTGGCCAAGATGGATTTTTAACTTGGAGTTTGTCACTTTTTCTGTACTCCAGGGTGTGGTTTCTCATTGTCTTTTTCATAGATTTTATTTTTCAAGCAGGCTGTATTTTGTCATTGCCTTTAAAAACATCCAGAAGTGACAGACATTCCCACTGTCATTCCCAATGTCCCAATAAGTACAGTGAATACTATTGTACTTACTTTGTACAAAATATTGTAGGATCCATAGATGGACAGGGTAGGATCCTTGCTTTCTGTTACAGATACATGTATAATAGGGTAGATTATGCTTAGATAACTGCAGACTACAGTATCAGGTGGTATGAGTGTTAAGTGTTTCACTGAGTTCTGCAGGTATGCTGAAAGAACAGTTTCTATCAAAGAAAGTAGGATGCTAGGATAAGTAGGATTTGAACAGTCAGGGATTGGGAAGTTGGTGGGGACATCATTCCAAGCAAAGAGAATGTAAACACTGCTGTAGCTATAGTGGAGAAAAGAATGTGTTTGGGGAACCCAAGTCTGTGTGTATGTGTTAGGAGGAATATTACTGTAAAGCAAATTGGATCCTTGAGTGCCAGGAGCAAGAATGTAGATTTTAGTTAATAGTAATTTCAGAGCCGCTGAAGTATTTTGAGCAGAGGAATGAAGAAAGGCAATTTGGTGATGGCTTGTAGATGGATTTGGACAAGATGAAGGTTTTTTTGAGACAGACTAATTGATTGGTGTCACAGAAAAGGGGGATAGAGGTGTTAGAAGAATTTGGCAACTAATTGGCAAAGTTTGAGCATGTGGGGCTGGGTTGGGAGTATCTCTAAGAGAACAATAATGGTACCTTCAACTGAAATAGCAAATCACAAGGAAAAGCTGATTCTAGGTTAAGGCAAGTTGAGTTTCAGAACTTTGGAAATTTGCAGTTGTAATGTAGGAGTGAAAGTAGGTGAGTATTCAGATGACATTCCCATTGTTGAAACCTTGGATAATAATGTGTTTATTGTAATCCTACTTAAAATGTGCATTTCTGTCAGAGTACAAAGAAAGATGGTGTCTATGGAGTGGGGGAAGGAGAATTATCATTTTCTAAAAACAAGTCTTGGTTTTCTGAGTGTTACTTTTGTAATGGGAAGAACAATAAAAAGAGATGACTATTTTAAGAAACAGATTCAGCATTGTACAGGAAAAAGGGAACTTGGAGGATGTTTCTAAGTCTGAAGGAAACTATGTAGGAGGAAAGAAAAACTGAATTTTGGATCCTTTGGAGAATGCTCAGAGTTAAGGAGTAGGAAATAAGAGCTGCTATGAGTTCACAGTTTGAAGAAAAGGAGGAATTAGGTGGAAGTATAAAACTTGAACTTGATTTCCTAAAGAATGCTTTAAAAAAAAAATCTAAAACTTGGCTGGGCGCGGTGGCTCCCGCCTGTAATCCCAGCACTTTGGGAGGCAAGGCGGTCGAATCACTTGAGGTCAGGAGTTAGAGACCAGTCTGGCCAACATGGTGAAACCCCGTCTCTACTAAAAATACAAAAATTAGCTGGGCGTGGTGGCAAGTGCCTGTAATCCCAGCTGATTACAGGAGGCTGAGGCAGGAGAATTGCTTGAGTCTGGGAGGCAGAGGTTGCAGTGAGCTGAGATTGCATCGCCAGCGCACTCCAGCCTGGGCAATGGAGTGAGACTCCGTCTCAATCAATCAATAATAAATGAATCTAAAACTTAATAGGAACAAATGTTTTCCATTTGGGTTATTTTTAACCCAATTTTTAAAATTATCTTAATTTTAATGATTATGAAATGATAAAGGACATATTCTTTTGAGTTTTAAAACTTGTTAAAATGTATGTACCACTACACATTCATCTTGAGGAGATAATTTAGTAATTTGGTGCCTTGGACATATACAGTGTTACTTGAAATACTTTGGAAATTAGAAAGTAAGGAATGAAACTTTAAAGAATAATTTATTATGTTTGGTCTGTCCTCCTGAACTCTGACTTTACAAAACCTTTATTGCCCTTTACGCCTAAATCGTCTTGAGGCTTAATGTTCATAACTGAAAATATTCATATTTCCTAATTAAAGAATATCATAACTATTAGTGGGGAAACATTCTTACAAAGACTTCATTCAAATGACTTTTTCTTTCTTTCTTTCTTTCTTTCAGGTATATTTGTATCCAGTATTGTTCTGATCTTGTCACAACGATCACTTTTCAAGTTTTACATGTACAGCTCAGCCTTTCTATTAGCTGCAACTTCAGTGTTGGTGAATTATTATGCTTCTTTGCACATTGACTTCTATGGTGCCTACAACACATCAGCTTTTGGAATTGAGCTGCTTCCTCGAAAAGGTCCCTCGCTGTGGATGGCACTTATCGTTCTACAGCTAACATTTGGAATTGGATACGTTACACTACTCCAGATTCATTCCATCTATTCACAATTAATTATTTTGGATCTCTTGGTTCCTGTAATAGGCTTAATCACAGAGCTACCATTACACATCAGAGAGACTTTAGTGTTTACTTCTTCCTTGATTCTCACATTAAATACAGTGCTTGTCCTGGCAGTGAAACTGAAGTGGTTTTATTATTCCACACGATATGTTTATCTTTTAGTGAGGCACATGTATCGAATTTATGGATTACAGTTGTTGATGGAGGACACATGGAAGAGGATTCGTTTCCCAGACATACTGCGAGTCTTTTGGCTAACAAGAGTTACAGCTCAGGCTACAGTGTTAATGTACATCTTAAGGATGGCAAATGAAACTGATTCCTTCTTTATTTCTTGGGATGATTTTTGGGACCTCATTTGCAATCTTATAATTAGTGGATGTGATTCTACACTAACTGTACTGGGCATGAGTGCTGTAATTTCCTCAGTAGCCCATTACTTGGGGCTTGGAATATTGGCCTTTATTGGATCAACTGAGGAAGATGACAGGCGGCTTGGCTTTGTTGCACCTGTTTTATTTTTTATTTTGGCTCTTCAGACTGGGTTAAGTGGGCTAAGACCAGAAGAGAGACTTATTCGCTTAAGTAGAAACATGTGCCTTTTATTAACTGCAGTCCTGCATTTCATCCATGGAATGACAGACCCTGTATTAATGTCTCTCAGTGCCTCTCATGTGTCATCTTTTCGTAGACATTTTCCTGTGCTGTTTGTCTCTGCTTGCCTGTTTATTCTTCCTGTCTTACTCAGTTATGTTCTTTGGCATCACTATGCACTAAATACATGGTTGTTTGCAGTTACAGCATTTTGTGTGGAACTGTGCTTAAAAGTAATTGTTTCTCTCACTGTTTATACATTATTCATGATTGATGGCTACTATAATGTCCTCTGGGAAAAGCTTGACGATTATGTCTACTACGTTCGTTCAACAGGCAGTATTATTGAATTTATATTTGGAGTTGTAATGTTTGGAAATGGGGCTTACACTATGATGTTTGAGTCAGGAAGTAAAATTCGGGCTTTTATGATGTGCCTACATGCATATTTTAACATCTACTTACAAGCCAAAAATGGCTGGAAGACATTCATGAATCGTAGGACTGCTGTGAAGAAAATTAATTCACTTCCTGAAATAAAAGGGAGCCGCTTACAAGAAATAAATGATGTATGTGCAATCTGCTATCATGAGTTTACAACATCTGCTCGTATTACACCATGTAATCATTATTTCCATGCACTTTGCCTTCGGAAATGGTTGTACATTCAAGATACTTGTCCAATGTGCCATCAGAAAGTATACATCGAAGATGATATCAAGGATAATTCAAATGTATCTAACAACAATGGATTTATTCCACCCAATGAAAATCCAGAGGAAGCTGTAAGAGAAGCTGCTGCTGAATCTGACAGAGAATTGAACGAAGATGACAGTACAGATTGTGATGATGATGTTCAAAGAGAAAGAAATGGAGTGATTCAGCACACAGGCGCAGCAGCTGAAGAATTTAATGATGATACTGACTGATGAAAATAGCATTTATTAATCATTGAGGTATTTGTTTAAAATTCAGTTCATCCAAAATGGAGTGATATCCTTCACCTTCAGTGTGTAACCAAGCACAAAAACAGTATCAATGTTGAATCTGTGAATGGTTTTCCGTTTACTGTGATGTGCTACTGTAAATATACCTCTTTAATTACTTCTGGTCTCTTTGGTGACCTGTTTAAATTTGTGTACATTATTGTACATAGAATAAAATGTTTTCACATTTTTATGACAAAATTGGAACAAATAGCTTTTTAATAGCTGTAATGATCATATGGTGCGTCAACTGTGCCAAAGATTCTTCAATGAAATCATGTAACGTATCTAACTTTGGACCTCAGTTTTTCTTCAGAATGGGTGGGAGAATGAAAATGCAAATCAGGAAACCACATTAAAGTTAAGGAAATAAAATAATTTGACCAGAGGATAAGGGACATGAGAGAGTATTTTAAAACTAAAGAAAAAATTAGCCTGCCAGAAGCAACTGAGGAACTTGTTTGAAACTTGAGTAGCAGTGTAATTGAGCTGAGTTTGAAAGTTATGATTCAGAGACCGAGGGTTGGGAAATTAACTGTATCAACTAAACTTTGATATAAACCAGAATGTGCTAAATGTTTTTTATGTAAAATTGGTATATTTGTTAGCCATTCTGTGTCTGCAGTATTGTCATAAAATTGTCCTTTCATTCTTTTGGAGATATTACAGAACAAAAATAGTTTATTGTTATTATTATTGTTTTAAACTAAGGTACTCAATGATATAAAAACATCCTGATCTGATTTTATGAGAAAAAGAAGGGGAATGGTGGAGAATGCTGTGTACCAATATATAGTATTTCTTTAGACAACTTGCAGATAATTTCTTTATTGAAACTATCAGTAAGTTTTACTATGAAATTTTACATACATGATGGAAAGTGGAAGACATATATATACCAATTATATTCCAGGAAAAAATACTTTAATAGTATTGTTATATAGGGTATTGGCTAATTCCAGTGGATCCTCATCTCTCACTGCTGACATTATCTCCAATATTTGACTAAAACAAAACAAAAACAAAAATGGTTAAATCTCCAAGTATATATTCTGTTTTAAAGCTATATAATATTAATTTTCCACACAAAGGGAAAATATTAGAGCACCTTTAATAGAATAAAGCTTAACAGTTATTAAGTTTTTCAGCAGCATCAACAGAAAAACTTACTGCCAGTAACTACAAACAGATTTATGGACTGTCTTGCATATAACTAGAGCTAAGAACCAGGTTCAAGTAAATTATTAAAGCAGACATCTGTATTATGTACACCACTTCTGGCATTAACTGAGTGGAAATGAAGAGTCCTTTTCAATTGTGAGTCATAGCATGTTCATTAGTGGGTCATGATGAGCATTTCAAACATTGACAAGTACACTGTACTTAGTAAGGGTAAGTACTGTTCCATTTTTTGTTTCATTTTATTATGTATGTTCATCCTAAGTCACAATGTAATTTGTACTGGGGGACAGCGGCCACAGTTGGAAAGCCACTGCTACAGAACTAGTCCTTGAGAGACAGCAAATGAAGGTATTAGGTTGCTGCAAAAGTAATATTTACTTGGAAAAATGTGTGGTTATTGAGGGGGAGGGCTTTCTGTGCTTCTACCCCAGGGAGAGAGAGAAGTCCAGGTGTCCCTCCTTCAGTTTCTTTCTTTCTCTTTTTTTATTTCTCTCTCTCTCTTCCCTTCCCTTCCCTCCCCCTTCCTTCCTTTTCTTCCTTTTTCTTTTTCTTTTTTGAGATGGAGTCTTACTCTGTCACTCAGGCTGGAGTGCAGTGGCGCGATCTCAGCTCACTGTAACCTCTGCCGCCCGGGTTAAAGTGATTCTCCTGCCTCAGCCTCCTGAGTAGATGGGATTACAGGCGCCTGCGATCAAACCCAGCTAATTTCTGTATTTTTAGTAGAGATAGGGTTTCATTCACCATGTTGGCTGGGCTGGTCTTGAACTGACCTCGTGATCCACCCGCCTGAGCCTCCCAAAGTGCTGGGATTACAGGCGTGAGCCAGGGCGCCTGGCCGCATCTTTTCAGTTTCTGTGCTTACAATAAGAACGATCCATAGTGTCTCCTAGCAATATTATATATAACATTTTAAATACTGAACTGGAAAGTTCCAAAGTCAAAATTGAACATTTAAATATTCTTTGCCCAAGGTTTTTGTTCCCTTAGTGGGTATCTTAAATGTTAACACCTAAAGGAATTAAGGATGGAGATCTAAGATTAATAGGAATTTAAAAAATTGTTTTGTAATAGTGACTTTCAAAAGCCTTGCTTGATGTTTATACAAAGCAAACATCATGCTGAATTTTTATCTGACAGTCAAGATATGCTGAGAGCAAATCTATTAACATTTAAATTAAGACAGTGAAAATCCATGTTTCTTCAGAAACTACCAAATGTCCCTCTGTATGCACTCAGAATTGGAACTCTTGATTAGTGCTGCTGATGACACAGTTTTGAAGGTCACAGCAGCTTTGCTAAGATTATATTGCATAGCAATTTTATTGAAATTAATTTATAAGAAATCTATTGGGCCGGGTGTGGTGGCTCATGCCTGTAATCATAGCACTTTGGGAGGCCAAGGCGGGCAGATTGAGCTCAAGAGTTTGAGATCAGCCTGGGCAACACAGTGAAACCCTACTTCTACTAAAACACAAAAAATTAGCCAGGCGTGGTGGTGGAGGCCTATAGTCCCACCTACTCGGGAGGCTGCGGCAGGAGAATTGCTTGAACTGGGAGGTGGAGGTTGCAGTGAGCTGAGATTGTGCCACTGCACTCCAGCCTGGGCAACAGAGCGAGAGACTGTCCCCCCCCGCCCCAACCAAAAAAAGGAAATCTATTGGAGCTTAGGACATCCTATTTTACTATTTGATAATGCAGTTTATGGAAATCTTTGAATAACCCTTCTGTAGCCAAGCCATGCTGTTTCCATACATCTTCAGTGGTCAAAGCTGCAGTTACTCCAAAATGAATATAAAGTTGTTTAATATCCCTGAGAATTTAGTGGCTTTTGTTTAGTGTGGCACTTTTACAGTAGGCACAGGTTTTGCTTTTTTTTTTTTTTTTTTTTTTTGTTTAGTGTGGCACTTTTACAGTAGGCACAGGTTTTGCTTTTTTTTTTTTTTTTGAGACAGAGTCTCACACTGTGGCCCAAGCTGGAGTGCAGTGGTGTGTTCTTGGCTCACTATAACCTCTGCCTCTCAGGTTGAAGTGATTCTCCTGCCTCAGCCTCCCGAGTAGCTGGGATAACAGGCGCCCACCACCATGCCCAGCTATTTTTTTGTATTTTTAGTAGAGACAGGGCTTCTCCACATTGGCCAGGCTGGTTTTGAACTCCTGACCTCAAGTGATCTGCCTGCCTCGCCTCCCAAAGTGGTAGGATTACAGGTGTGAGCCACTGCGCCCAGCCAGGCAAAGGTTTTTAAAGTCTTACAAGATCTGTATGATTCCTGCCACTATTTCCTTTCCAGCCCCTCCCCATACTGATACCAGTTATAGCCTTAAAAAAAAAAAAAAATTGCCACTGTCCTGCTTTAAAATCCTTTGGGTAGTGATAAAATCTAAGCAAAATGCTGGCATATAAGAGGCCTCACAATCTGGGCTCACTCTACCTTCCCAGACTTGACTTCTTCCACTCACCCTGTGCATCCCACTTTCTGCCACACTTGTTCCTCTGGATTAGCCAGGCCCTTCTGCAGTCTGCCTTTGCTCCAGGTGTTTGTCTTTCTCTGACCTAACTCCCAGTCACGCCTAGTAAACAACTGAAATGTCACCTTGGTGTAGCTCTCTCCTGTTTCCCCTCAAAGCAGACAGTTGATGTGCCCTATGGTCTTGGTCATATATTCCTATTTGTATAACAGCACTACTATCTTGGACTCTGTCTGCTTATTTGCTCCAGGAGGGCAGGGGTCCTCGCCTGACTCACTGAATGCCTTATCTAAAGTGCCAGGCACAGGTGGATGGATAAAGACAGGGACTGTCTTGGTTCTTCTGTGTAGCCTTAGTAACTTGTACCTTTCCTGACATATGGCAGGGGCTCCAAAATATCTGTTGCAAACAACTTATATCTAAAAGACTTCTATAAACATAATTAGAATGTAAAATTGTTAACAGAATGGAGGTTGATAAAATGACTTTGCAAGTAGGAATTAACTTGCCAACTCATAATTAGCAGTAGATCAGATGATTGTGTATTTTTGAAATGTGGTTTAAATCTTTTCAGCTTGCAGATGCTCAATTTTCCTAAGCTCTGCAGCTAACTGAAGAGCAGGTATTCATGAAGCCTTCACAGTTTTTTTTTTTTTGAGACGGAGTTTCGCTCTTGTCACCCAGGCTGGAGTGCAATGGCGCGGTCTCTGCTTACTGCAACCTCCGCCTCCTGGGTTCAAGTGATTCTCCTTCCTCAGCCTCCCGAGTAGCTGGCATTACAGGCATCTGCCACCAGGCCTGGCTAATTTTGTATTTTTAGTAGAGATGGGATTTCACCATCTTGGCCAGGCTGGTCTCAAGCTCCTGACCTCAGGTGATCTGCCTGCTGCAGCCTCCCAAAGTGCTGGGATTACAGATGTAAGCCACCATGCCCGGCCAGCCTTCATAGTTCTTAAACAGTCTACATTTAAAAACACCTTGAAATTTTGTCTTGCAAATGTATAGCTAAAGTCAACAGCTATAATCTTATATAAGATTAAAGAAATATAAAAAACTGACTTGGATACACTGTTGGCAACTACTTCCTGTAAGCTGGCTGCTGGCAAAATAACAGTTTCTTTTCTCTAGTGTCCTCTTAGATCCCCCAAAAACTGGCTGGGTGTGGTGGCTCATGCCTATAATCCTAGCACTTTGAGAGGCTGAGGTCAGGAGTTTGAGACCAGCCTGGCCAACATGGCAAAACCCCGTCTCTACTAAAAATACAAAAATTAACTGGGTGTTGTGGCACGTGCCTATAGTTCCAGCTACTTGGGAGGTTGAGGCAGGAGAATTGCTTGAACCCGGGAGGCGGAGGTTGCAGTGAGCCAAGATCACTCCACTGCACTCCAGCCTGGGCAACAGAGCGAGATGGTCCCCCCCAAAAAAAAAAATTATTTAGAAATACTGTTTCATCACTGAATTTGCAAGTACTTACATTTATTTTTTAAAATTTTTGTTACTTCTTTAGAGACAGGGGTCTCCCTATGTTGCCTGAGCTGATCTTGAACTCCTGA